ACCACTTCCCACGGGTATAAACCACAACAAGTACCACTTCCCACGGGTATAAACCATAACAAGTACACTTCCCACGGGTATAAACCATAACAAGTACACTTCCCACGGGTATAAACCATAACAAGTACACTTCCCACGGGTATAAACCATAACAAGTACACTTCCCACGGGTATAAACCATAACAAGTACACTTCCCACAGGTATAAACCATAACAAGTACACTTCCCACAGGTACAAACCATAACAAGTACACTTCTCACAGGTATAAACTTTAACAACCTAACCTAACTTAACAAAATCATCCAGAGCATTGTTCAATTTTTGTACATGCATCAAAATTATGTGAACCAAGTTCACCTATATAAAGAGTATTGAAATCTTTGAATTAATGTGATATGTTTTTCGATGGATCGTGTACTGAAAATATTTTTAGGCTTATGCAAGTTTTGTTCATTCACAAGGTTGTCAGATTAGAAATCACTATGTTGTAACTTATAGTCCACTAAATTAACAGTTGTATTATGATCTTACTTCATCATGATGTACAACTGTATTCACAGAAGCAGTGGTTCTTACCCATGATACAATGAACTGCCTGGCAAAAGGGTTTTTAGTGTACATCCTCTCTCTCAGCAATGGGATGAACTTAACCAAGTCAAAAGACGAGCTTTCTGTCACCACATCCTGAAAAAATAAACATAACACAAACTTGGTGTACTCCAGAAAAAGTTTTCCTTATCAAGATAGAATTCTTCTTTCTTAACAGTCAGAAACAAATGCAAGAGACTATAGCAAATTTTGGAAAATTGTTTTATGTAAGAATTCAATTATCTCAATAAAATTTGTCAATTTTACCCTTTATACATGTTTACTTATCATCATATGCCAAGAGTAGCATCTTTAAGCCTATTACTTTGAAAACTAACATGATAATTGTGATTACAGTAATCTGATTTGAATTTAAGACTGTGCTAGAAAACAGAAAATTATTTTCTTATAAGCCTACAACACATTAAATAACAAAGCCCTGAATCACAAAGAATTGTGCATGGGAACCTTAGAACATAAAAGGATGATGAAATGTGAAAATCAGTCTTAACCACAGAAGATGACTCTGTACTGTATGTGGTATTGATACTTCTTTAAAAAAAGTTCCCTCAACATTCCATTATAGATGCAAAACAAAACAAAACAAAAAAACAACCTAACAATATCACTAACACAGTGTTCTGATTGGCAAATCTAGTGTCACTCTCCCAGAAAGATGAGAAAACTATAACGCTTCAAACAAGGGAATACAGCCATTGGCCTGTAACAGAGGTAAACACTGCAAGAAAGTTGAAAAAAAAACATCTTACCAAAGACATATAACCATTAGCTTGTAACAGAGGTAAACAGACAACATCTAGTGTTGCTCTTTACAGAGAGTTGAAAAAACATCATACTAAAGACACAGCCATTAGCTTGTAACAGAGGTAAACAGACAACATCTAGTGTTGCTCTCACAGAGAATTGAAAGTTATAACATAATCACAACTAAAAAGATTACTGCTACCCTAATTAATAGCTTACACATCATCATTTTATTCAACTAAAAAAGATCACCGCTACCCTAATTAATCTTTCACATCATTTTATTCAACTAAAAAAGATCACTGCTACCCTAATTAATCTTTCACATAATTTTATTCAACTAAAAAAGATCACTGCTACCCTAATTAATCTTTCACATCATTTTATTCTATT